TTACCCTAAACTATCAGGTCTCTGCATAGTCCTAAAGGATCTATGTACCATTTTCATGAAATGCAATGATTAGTACTTGAGATACTCGTGGAAAAGCTGAAAATTAACAAATTATGCAAATTAGGTGATTAATATGCACAAAGATTTATCTGAAACAATCAATCTCTGCATAGTCCTTGAGTATGTAAGTACCAAGTTTCATTGACATGTAATGCTTACTACTAATATCAAAAGCTGAAAATTAATTAATTATGCAAATTAGGTAATTATATGTACTGATATTACAATAAAAACTATCAGGTCTACGTCGTGTCATATGACATCTATGTACCAAATTTCATTGAAATGTGATGATTAGTACTTGAGATATCAATGGAAAAACCGAAAATTGATTAATCATTATGCAAATTAGGTAATTAGTATCCACGGATTATTACCAAAAACTAATCAAAACCTAGCATTAGTTCAGAGCATCTATGTACCAAGATTCATTAAAATCCAATGAGTGGTTCTTTAGATATCAGTGGAACAGTCATAGAACAGCTAAAAATTAGCTAATTATCATGCAAATTAGGTAATTAACGAACATGGATTTTTACCAAAACCTAATCAAATCTGCGCATTGGCCCAGAGCATCTATGCACCAAGTTTCATCAAAAACCGATGTATGTTTCTTGAGATAGCAGTGGAACAGTCGGACACACATACACACAGACATACAAACACACACAGACACACTAACTGCAAAAACTTCCATTATGTGCTTCGCACATGGGAGTAAAAAATTACTAACCGAGGCGCATCCAAAATAAATTTTTCTGAGGGTGTTTCAAAACTAAATATTGACCGACATTGTGTTTCCTTAGATCGTTATAGCCAGACTGCTAAAAACGTAATTGATCCAAGAAACGCTATATAAACGTAATCTAGCTGTCGTTCAAATAGTTAAAGCGGGAAGATCGTCACCTGCGCACGCTCGGGAATTGAGTCCCAAGCGATGATAACAACACACGCTAAACGCAAAAGCTCATGGGTAGACGGTTGTTTGTAAACAATAACACGCTATGGCCATCTGACGCATGCGCAGGTGACGACACCCCCGCTTTAAATTGTATGTGGGAAATAGACGTACTAATGATTTCACCTTGAACTACACCAGTCGAGACACGATCGATATGATATCCAATCGAAATTCGAACGCGCTGCATGACATGAAAATTAAAATTAAAACTGTTAAAACCATTTTAAGTACCAGCGGCGTTCTGAAACGTTGCAATTTTGTTTTGCTACTTTGTAGTCCATTGCTGATTATGATGAATGTATTATACTTTCGATTACTGTAAGTCACAAGTGACAAGGTGAACAACGATTATACACTACAGCTTTTAAAGTGATTTGTTTACGTGTTCAACAAATAAATCTCTCTGATCATTATTATAATATATGACACTGTTATTAATAAGTTGACCAATATATCAGGTTACAGGGGATCTGAAATGTCATAGACGTATGGTGAAACAACACATGATATAATGTGCCGGAGTCTATTGGTGAGAAACTTACATCCCTCGCTGAACAGATGCATCTAAGTCAACTCATGCTGCATTTAATTTGTCATTGGTCAAATTTTAAGTTTTATCGCTGGCATGAACTTTTTAGATTCGTTAGTCACGTGGTTCTAAACATGTATGTAGTTAAGCCCCTCTAAGTTATAAGAAATGACATTCGAATAAAATGAATCAATGATCGGTAACGTTCGTGCTTGCAGGAAATTGGTGAAATTTTGATGTTTAGGATATCGTGCACATTAGCAATAAAATTTGTTACGTAATAATTACAAAACACAATAATTCGAAGAGCACTGTACATGTGCAAATATTATAGGGCGGTGGTCGTCTCGCAGCGCGTGTTCGAATTTCATGTAAATAAACAATGTATTTTACACGCGTTGTATACGTCGCTATGAGTCCCATATCGAACAGGACGCGGCACGACGACTACCGCCCTTTAAATACTAGTAGTAGTCATTCTTTGCCACATTTTATATGGTTAATAATGATTGTACTGGTGTATTAACATTTAATTAGAATATGTTGTGTACTCACGTAAATGCGGGATGTATTCCGAGTTAGGTGGCATGAATTCGCCGACAACTGTCAGAAACACAAACTGAGAGAGGATGCTGGTCACGCACAACGTAATCCGTTCGCCGGAATCTGAAGGCAGGTAAAATCCAACGGCGACTAAGACGCACGCAAGGAATGACGGGAAAATGATGTTGAAGATGTAGAACAAGGATCTCCTCTTCAGATGAATGATGTACGTGATGTCTGGGAACGGATCGTCACAACAAACGTATTTTTCCTCTGATCGTATTATTGGCATTCCAACCAATTCCCATTCCCCGTTTGGCACAAATCTGTCGGTGTCACTTTTATTGTCCGCGAGCATGTCGAGAAACTTAATGTCGTAACTCCAGGAGGCAAACTTAAGCTTGCATTCTTGCTCGTCAAAAGGGAAGTAGGTGGCATCAATGCCGCATGTACAACGGATTACGAAAGGCTGTAAAGACGTGACAGTGCCGTCAGAGTCAATAATTGCGTCCGTGTCGTAATGTCGTTGAAACTCGTCACTTACACTGTGGAGGAAATTTAGAAAACATATAAGTTTGCATGTTATTTTACCTATTTATTCTGGGATAAATGTATCACAACTAATATAAATATTAGTAAGACTATGCTCCCGTGATTGAGAAGCAGCCATGATAAAATCAAACTAAAAAAAATAATAATAGCTGAATTTCGGAACACCATAGATCACAAATGACGCATTACTTCGAGTACAGGTTCCCTGTATTTTTACATTTAATTGATCATCAATAATGTTTTAGTGTTTTGATGATTTGTTCTAAATTCAGTAAACGTCGTTTATTATTTCGCCATGTTTGTAATCTTAAACAGAAATAAACCGACTCTATACTACAGTGGTAGAATCACCAATCATAAATAGGTCTAGCTTACCTTCCAAACAACGTAATATCCGGTTGCCAAATTTCAACAATAGGTACTTGTATCTGAGTTATATCATTATACAGACTTGCATCCCATGATAAGTACTCATCAGTCCATCTCTATTGATGAATATAATGATTTATCAAATGTATTATGAATTGTATTACGTATATTTTTAAAGGGCGGCGGTCGTCGCGCCACGCATGCAACAGATATGGGACTCATAAGAACAAAGATGGTGACTTGTCGAATGTTTTGCAGACCAAAGACTACAAACCGAGACGTCACTAAGCTTTAACTATGTAATATGTTCAGTGATTGGAAGGTATCGAAGGAGTCTCCAATGCTAATTAGTGTACGTTGCACCCAAATCAAAACACGTAATTTCCATTAGAAGAGCGCATTGGATTGTGGGAAAATAAATGTTTATCGACAAAGATGTCGCAGATGCGTTGTAATAATATGTTAAGTAAAGAAGTTAAGGATGTGTAAATAGTTAAATAGTATAGTAATATCGTCGAATTCAACATAAGAACTCTGGCTAATAATAGTATTTATACTAGAAACACAATGTTACAGCCAACTCCGCATATATCTACGCATCGTGACACATCGAGTGAATACCGCCCTCTTGCGGCAATCATGCATATAATTGGTTTTGAAAAATCCATTCTACTATTGCGTTTCTGTAAACACCACGGCACAACACATTGATGGTGTTCCCGATATTTTATAATATGAAATCAACACATACAGTATCAGAACGTGATGAAATGAACATTATATGTTCCTTAACGTTGAAAACAACACCTTGACCAATTATAAAACCTCTTCCCGTCTCAATGTAAAAACAAGATGATTATCATCCATTATAATGTATTATTTATTTATGTTTGAACATGACGAGATCATTCTGGTCATACATTGGTTATTGCTCGGTGAAGATGGCTCATTTGCATGTAAATTAGTATATGCTGTGTGTATCAAATCAAATTACTGACATTTTAGATTTTGTAATTACGGCCGGTCCTTACGTCATTAAGTAGTAACATGTCCCAGACAGATCGTTATCAAGGCTTAATCGGCAATTGGATATAATTAACCAATTACAAACAAACATAATCGCAGACGGTCAAATTTGAAGAAAGGGACGTCATAATGAATACAAATGATTCCTAAAGCCATTGGGTATTTTTCCCCCTCAATTTAATCATTACTGTTTCAATAACACATGAACGAACAAGACAATTATGTCAAATTGATTTAGATTAACAAGTGTATATATTTGTTTACATTGTCGCAAGCTACTGTACGTGGATGAGCACATTTGATTATGATTCATCGTAATATATAAACAAATTGAAAATATCAATTAATATAATGCGCACCGGTTGTATATACAAACACAATTAACGTCTACTCTCACTCATTTTGTTCTTTCATTTTTATCAAAGGAACTTCTTGAATGTTGAGCAACCTTCTCATTCATCTGTATCGTACAACATATTTTTTTTTCAACAATTAAACCGACAAAGGACATTACTAAACGAATGAATATGCACGTGAAAAAATAAACTGAAAGAAAATACAGGTACCACAAACATGCGTGTAACACAACTTTCCACTGCGTTTTCTCGCGATATTACGTTCTAATTACCATGTATTAGCCATAGGACGAACTACTGAAACTTCCGTATCTTTACGAATAGGTATCCATTTATTATTATTTTTCAAAATGTAGTTCCAGACAAATCGTTTTATTATCTCGAGTTTAACGGGTCGTGTATGTCCCCACCATAGAGCCATGTATTAACTCCGTAATCACCCACATACAGTAATATCACCGTTATCTCAAAAAATTGCACCGTGACCCCAATGTTTTCATATATGATAGTCTATATACAAAATATTAAAAAAAATTCCAAAGAATTTCGTGAACCAGTATTGAGTAACCATAAAGGATTATCGGATGCTTTCTATCATCAATTCTCGTAAATTGTTCGGTTATGACACGAACTAGACAAACTAACGACTATAGATTTTATGATCCGTGCATACTAAGAGTGTGTTAAAATGTTATGTCCGGAAATTACCTTTATATTGTCATTATTTGATAGTGTGAGTAGTTTTTCCTATTATAATAAGGAGTTGCCGTCAGAATATAAACTAGAATAATAACAATAATCGGTAATAGATGTACATATAAACTCCGCATCTGACATTTGCAAGGCATTTTGTTCAAAGATGGTCCCCTTCGAATAAGTATGAGTTCAATGTTATCATAAAATGGGAGTCGGAATTCGCATAATAAGTACGAAAGCAATCTAACGAACACATTTCAAATAGAAGTCGAAAATATCAATTATTATTGAAAATTAGCAAAGATATATAAACGGCACAACGTCTCTGAAAGTAGGCGAGCCCACGAATGAGCCAAACCGTACTGTACCCAAACACACGCCGGGACCGGAGGTATCAGAGAATTGTGACACACGGGACAATATAAACACCACACGGTAATATTCTAGTAATACACCACGGGTAGCTATAAAACATCACCACCCGACAAAACAAGCCAGCGATTAGCCGATGGACAACGTCAGTCCCACTAACAACTTAGTACGGCTGAAAGAGTATTAGCTGGAAAACATACATGTGGCTTCCGAAAATTAGAAATGTAATTGGCTGTTAGAGTCCACAACCCTTTGCCTTTTGGCAGACGGATCACGATTGAGCATAACGCCCTCAGGGACTAAAAATAAAACAAACCTTCTCCTTATTATGGTTCCTGGGAACGAGCAGTTCCAAGAATATGTTGTTTACAGCAAATCACACATACCATTAAAAAAACAATTCTCACACAATCACAACACTAATCTGATCACCAACGTACTATCAAACTGTTAAAATAACAAAATGCACGTCTGCATTGCAATTTAGTGCAGTGAACTAGGATCATCAGTTTTCAGTTTGAATGAGAGTAATTCCGCGCGGTCGTATCGAAACGTGAATGATACAATCTATTTTCAACTTATAACGAATGTCTTGTTTTCAATTAACATTAAATACAAATCACATGCTAGTGTAATATGAGTATGTGATCCAAGTGATAGCAGCGATGGTAATGATGGCATCCAGATGCGTGTTTTATATCGTCAAGCAGGCAGAATGTCTACACGTATCGTCCATGGCTGGGGACGACTGTAATAACTACTCTCCACAACTGACCGTTGGTGGCAGACTGGAAACGACACTGGAGCACCAGTTTCTCTCATCGCCCAATGACGTGAACGTTCGCACCCACGTGTTACGATAGGAAACAGTGGCGCGTGGGAAGTTGTTCTGCACGCAGGTTTGGAATCGTTACCGCATTAGCAATTCTACTCTTGAGTCACAGCCGGTTGATTGTCTTAGCGAGTCAACAGGAGTGGTTATTTTAATTGACATTGAAATTTATTTAAATTTTGTGAAATTAAAATAGCCACTGTGAATGAAGATACATGCTAATGTGCAGTGTATATACGATTATACCATCTGTGACCTATTATTAGTTTAATTTATGTTATGTCAATCAATAAATCCAACACTCGAATTCATGTGTAGATTAGTGAATTTATTTCTGAGCTTAAAGCGCGGTAGTCGTCGCGCCACGCATGCGCGAGATATATGGGTCTCATATAAACAAAGATGGCGACTTTGGCTGTTGCGCAGATCGACGAGTACAAACTGGGACGTTACCAAGCTTCAATTAGGTATTTTTAGGTGATTGGAATGTATCATAGGAGTCACCGGCGGTAATTAGTTCAAGTCGCGCCCAGGTCAAACCTCATACTCGTGATTTCCATTAGAAGAGCGTATTGGATTGTGGGAAAATCAATATTTATCAACACAAATGTCGCACATGCGCGGCGCGACGACTACCACCCTTTAAACAAATTGGCTTAGTAAGTGTTAAGAATTGGAATTTTCGAAAATAAAGAAAGATCTATTTACAAAAAGCTGGCCAAAAATAGATAAATGTGAATGCTACACTGAAACACGACAGCAAATCAGATAAATTTACTATGTGTCGTGTGCGTAAATAAAACACAAATAACTTTAGCATAATTTCAACAATTTAATTTTTTCGATTTAGAAAAAAAATGGTTTTTGGATGTTTCAACAAAAGTACCTCATATCATATGTCTTAAAAAATATTCAATTTGTAAAAACACGTTTGTGACTCACCTGACTTAGCCAACACTTTATCATGATAATTTGGTTCTTTTCATCCTGTAAACAAGAAAAACAACATTATTACGTAATAAACATTACCATCTTGAATACCTGTAATGGAAAAACGTAGATATTAGACTGAAATGAAAATATCCCCGAACTCTAATATTTCGACTGACCAATTAGACCCTGTCGGTCACGAGCATTTAACACAAGTGCAGACAACTAATTCTACAACACAATCTGTATACTATACCATAATTCTAAAAATTACTATTCAAAATATGTGAACCCACATACGCAACATTCATCAGCAAAGTAATACTGACAAAAAACACAAAACAAAAACGTTTGTTCCAGTTGAACATAAACTTTGTAGGAACGTCACGGTGATTACACTACGTCAGATCATGTTCACAGCGGTTTCGCGCTAGATAACGAACTATCAGAATTTTCGCAATCCAGTAAGAGTAAACACCATGCCTAGACACAGTCAGTGAATTTCGTATTATTCATCAGATATTCTGCCGGATGGAGTAAGTAAGTAAACAATAAAAAAAATTCTGTAAGCGATCACCAGCATCGAAGCTGTCACAATATGTATTCGACAAAGTGACATAGTTTCGTTTACTCTAAGACCAAATCAATAGAACCATTCGTTCTGCCACTACCTTAACTTTCATACGACAACTTTAGATTTAATAAATGAAATGGCTGCAGTGAGGCCACTGATTATGAATATTGAAATCTGAGTTTCAGGAATTACCGAATAATGTTGCAATGATAAGAACATCATGAAAATGTGAAAAAAGATGGTGTGCAATAACGATGACATATAATGACGACAGTAATGGCGACATGGTAATGATGATGGTAGTAATGCTTATACGGAAATGCAAACGATGTGGATGTGACGATGATAAATAATGAAAATAGAGAAGTGGTAATATAGAAGTGAAAAGTGGTGATTTTATCGTAATGATGTCGATGGAATAAAGGGTTAGAACAAACAAAGGTTATGTGGCAACTGTTAATATCTATTGTAACGATATCGGATAAACATGAATATCAATGTACGTCACCGGGCATTAGCAAAATGTACAGGTACGAGAGTGCAGTAAAACTTGTGTCTAAAATGGAGTGCCTTGATGGTAATTTTTATCTGCTTGACCAAATCTAGTCGTGTAATAAAATCTCGTCTCGTCGTGCCCAACTCTCGTCTGAGTGTCCAACTCTCATCTGAGTGCCCAACTCTCATCTGAGTGCCCAACTCTCGTCTGAGTGACCAACTCTCGTCTCAGTGAAACTTTCGTCTGAGTAACACTCTTGTTTGAGTACCCAACTCTCGTCTGAGGAACCAACTCTCGTCTGAGTGAAACTTTCGTCTGAGTGAAACTCTCGTCTGAGCGAAACTCTCGTCCGAGTGACCAACTCTCCTCCGAGTTAAAGTCTCACCTCTCTCCAAACATGCGCTATATAATGGTGCATCGCATAACCAAACTTTACATGTCATGTGACTGAAAATGGATTCACTCCGCATGTGTTTCACAATCAAAGAATTATATAAAAATAATAATATATCTACTTCATTTTTAATGCCGTTGCGCTGATACACTGTCTGGCAACTTACTGCATGACATGGAGATACCTTTCTGTAAGGATCATATTGTTCTAGCTGACCACTTTGTCGTGGAAACAAATTATGCATTACAATGTGATTGTTTGTCATTGATGACTGACGACACATCCCGGGGGGATGCATGGCCTTAATACGAAAATGGGTTTGGGTATTATATATGTGGTAATAAAGAATTAATATTGATGGGGAAAATGACGATGGTATGTAGGCGATGGCGTTATTGTAATGTAACAAACCAGTTGTGAAGTTGGTATGACAGCAATGGCGGTGTGAAAATGGCGATGATTTGGAACATGACAGTACTGCTCACGACACGGAGACCTGATTTTGTAGCAGTGGTGTAGATATTGAGGTATTGACGACGATATTAACATAAGACATCACAAAATGAAAGTGACTACGACGTTGTAGTCATTATGAGGCGATCAATTTATTGTACATATCAAGGGCTCGGAGAGTAATAACTATTGTTGCTACTGCATCGATCGATTCTTACAAGTTCAATATTATCAGTACTAGCGACAGTTGCTTTTCACGCTCAATGGAGCGCTATAGTTGTCTCATTTAGGTCAGAACCTATGTGTTTTCATAAAGGTGATTGCAAAACTCACGTATGATATTGTGAGTCCTAACCTTGTCTTCGACAATTTAATAAATGTCTTATTAAAAACATTCATATAAGGACAAGTGCGACATTACCCATTTTACACAAGTTTGTTGGTGTTATCTGTGGCTATCTATTGCATAGTGTGACGTGGGCTTATCTCCGTGAAATACACACATTGGAAAAGTTAGGAGGTCACCTGGCCATGCCCTTACCACATTCGTTACACATATTCATATTACCCATAATACAAAGCTGTTATTGAGTAATTGTAAATGACACCACCACCAAACAAAAATTGTAAACCCCTACGATGGAACATCTCAGTTAAGCTGATTTTATTTTCACTGAATCAACCCTTCAGCGAAAATATCCTTACGGTGATTTGAGCTTTCAGCCAAATTCGCTAGAATGGTATGTAGCTGTTTCAGACCGATTCAGACTAGCTTTCTATTTTCCAAATCGGTATATGTCTGAATACATTATCATTTGCACAAGTAATGTAGTTAATTTAAAAAAAATAATCATACATGAAAAGTACAGCATCAAGGTCATGAAGTGAATTTGGTCAATTCATCAGTTTGAGTCATAACACTGTCAACATGGTACAATTACGACAATCGGCAATCATTAGGAAAGCCGATAATTCAGGATCTCCGACGCAAATGACAGTAATCTTGACAACAATTGCCTGATAATACATATCTAACAGTTACAGGAGGATGTCAGTAATGAGAACAGTGACACACAAATTCATAATTTCCGGAGTAACGAAGAGTATACGTTTTATGAAATAGATTTGATATGAAGGGAGCCGCATAGCATTCTACAAACCAGTCATGTTTGTTTATTCTTGTCCGCTAGCTAACCAATTATTTAAATTTTGTTGTTGTAAATTTAATATGCAGCATTTTTTAAAGTCTTGAAACAAGACCGATGATGCTTTGCCTTCCCAAATCATCGGGCCGATGGGTGATGTCGTTTCCTTCTAAGGGAAAAACAAAGCCTCGCCATAAGAAAGATGAAACAAGTCATTTACATGACAGAACTTAAATAGTGTCAGAAACTATTTATTGGGTCATTTTCATGGAAACTTCCTTTCTTCTTTACTTGTCAGCTTCCATGCTGATTGCCAAGTTGCTACGTCCCCGGGGGTCACTCTATATGCCGTTACTACCCCATGTGCGTTCTAAATTTAGCGGGGAAATGGGTGCTTTTCACCTTCTAAAGCGGCCGGGTAAAGCGGGCCCGCGCGGGAGGCAAATAGGCCCCATTTAAAAGCTAATGTCTGCAATAGGCCCCCAGAAATAAACTCACAGGGTTGCTGCGCCTGCTGTAGGCCCTCTCTCGCAACAACCACTCCCATAAACCGCCGTAGGCCCGAATTGGCGGACCCATAGCCCCGACCAGGCCCAAAACGCCCACCCGAATCATGTGAATAGTTCTCATCATTAAACAACGAATGACACCAACAGGAGTTGCATACACAGCAACCATAAGTAGCGTATTTAGTTGATTATTCTCCACCTGAGTAAACAAAAAGGTAGACATTGCTCGCAATAGGGGGTGGGATGTTCTCAATATTTATCTGCAATAGGGGGGTGTTCTTTTCTTCAATAAGTATGCTCTAGGGAGTACTAAATTTACATTGCGTCCGCAATAGGGGGTATGGTTTGCCAAATGAATGTGCTGCCAGCCCTAGGGGCCTATTATGTTTTAGCAAGAACGCACATGGTGTAAGGTTTTAATTTAGAGTGACCCCGGGGCTCCATCTATCTCTATCCCCACAACATGTCCTCGCATTACACAGATTTGATTTCAAAATTAAAGCAGTGGCTGACCAGACCATTTTTTTGGAACCATTGCATCGTACAGAAAACGATTGATAATAAACATTTGTTTATTCTGCTTTTATTACATGACCACTTAATGCATCTTCTGTGGAATTTTTGCCCTTGACGATGCCGGGGTTTTTAAGCATGGTCGGATTAAAGTTGATCATATCCCCATTAGTTATATTCACGTACATAAAACCGAGGATGTCTAACAACAGCTACTACAAAAAAGTAGTATCAGTTAACACCGCAATATCTACGGGGTCCGCAATGATCATGCACTCCGGGAATCACATGGCTGCATTAAACAAAAAATATGCTAAATGACGCAATAAAATTGTGAAAAGACATCGCCAAGAACATAGACGTTTCGATGAGCTGTGATGTGAAAGACAATGCAATGTGTCAATATGAAGGCGTCGTGGTGAGCTGCCAAAAGCATTGAATGATTGTCGCGAAGGCAACACAACCATGGGACGGTGTTGTATCCCACGTACTATGGAAGGAGTTTTCCGATGGAACAACTAGCCTGCATGTTTGCGCTTTAGTCACATTCTATGATTCGGTTCAGTAATTCAGTATAGTGATAGACAATCATATACATGCGTAGGATAGATATCCCAAATATTAGTGCCCACAGTGATACAAATACACAAGCATTTCCTGTATATATGCTTGGCATACACAACACAGCGTACAATGAAATAAAGAAGTGAATTTTAAACAAAACAAAACAAAACAAAACAGCTAAGCTAACCTGACAGATGACAGACCATCTACAGTACAACATATTTAACTGAAAATCATCACGACAACACGTCTTATCGCTTCATTATCAATGTTACATAAAAGGTGGACAATAAATTGTAATTGACATAGCTAAACATAATTTCCTATTCGATCGCCAAAACTTTGAAAACCCACATGGGAATAAATTAATAAATTAGTCGTTGTTGATTGAAATGTCGCAGCTGGTGTC